GGATTAGTTCTTATTTCCATGTGCTTTAAAGGGCTGCTAATTTTTCACTGTAGACCTCTGAATCACATTCTAAATTGAGACAGAGATAAATGGAAAGCAAGCTATTTCAGGTGAATAGGGACTTGAAAAAAATCTATGCAACATGCTGCTTTTGGCAGGCAGAAGAACATTAATATAGAAGTAACACTGAGTGGCATGGATATCATCACACTAGCTAAGAATAGAAAAACTCTGTCTCTTCTATCACAGAAGAGGTTGATCACCCTATTTAAAATGTGGGAGCACTTCATGGTACATCTGGCATTTAAATACTCTATTAATGAACTCCATTCCTATTCAGAGTTGCTAGCAAAACATATCCCCTGAGCAAATGGTCCATTGTCACTGATTGACAGAAACACAAATTTACTCATGAATTAAAAAAAAACAAAACCAACAATTTCCAATCATGTAACAACAACAACAACAACAAAAACCCCAATTATGCAACTCTGCATAATTCACATTATGGATATAAAAGTCACTACAAACATCAAAAGAATATTTCCCATTCTATTCAGGGCATAGCATGGGAATTTTTAAGTCAAACTGGTACTATTTTAACACGTAACTGAAATAAAACTCCCGAGAAAGTAAACATAAGTTTCAAAATACACAGAAATCCATGTTAGAATTCAACAGTTTTGAAAAACAAATAAACAAACACAGGACAAAAATATTGCAGGTAATTTTAACTACATTCTCTGTTTATGTAAATAGGCATACAACACTTCTCTGGCATAAAGGCCAGTTTTTAACAGTTTATGTATCACATAATTCTTCACTGCTGAAGACTTTTGACTTTCTATCTAGATGTGTAGCAAAGGCATATTGTATAGGAGTAGAACAATATCAGTTTGTGATCTCTCTAATAATGTTCATTATATTCTGTATTTTAAGTTAAATTTGCGTTGTAAATTTGTCCATCATGTATTTTAAGACTGCTGATCCAACTTTAACTGATTGAGTTCTGCATCACAAAGCTCTTCATAAGCTGAATTACTTTGCCTCTAAGACATTTTTTGCCTACACTCAATCATCTCTGATTCTGTTAAATTTAAAATAATCAATATTCTAATTATACATTTCAATGGAAATGTAAAAACCCTTAATTCAGGGATTGCTATGTTTTGCTGCAATGCAACCTAGAGAACTAACTCCTAATAAAGCCAAGTGATTTGGGAGAATGTGTGAAGCACAGGAAGCCAGATGTACTTATCAGTACTCCTCAAGGCAGAATGAATCAGAGGATAGTTTGCAGTTGTGTAGGAGGCATCAATACAGTGGTCTGGTAATTGCACTGAACTGCAAATGACAAATGCCTCATACTTTCATAAGGGAAAGACAGAAAAGGGCAAGATTATCTTTATGGGCAATGACAATACAAAACTTTAACCAAGCAGTAATGGTATGTCGTATATTGTCACAGATATGAGAGTGCAATAGGAAAAAAGCTTTATGCAATGTCTACATAGGAAGCCTAAATTAAACCCATTAAGTTCAACAAAGTATTGGACCTCAAAGACATTTTAAATGTAAATTATCACTAATTTATTTTGCCAGGTTGGGAACAAGACAGAAATACACTTTGGATTTGTAGAAGTCTGAAGATCTTGATGTACAGATATTAATGGAAATAATATTTTGAACCAAATATTTGTCTATTGATCTTGTCTTAACCTTTCTTGTTGATATATCCTCATTATAATGCTCCATGGAGTCAAGAATTGCTGAAAAAGAACAGACAAAGCTAAGAACTTAAAGGTAGATATGCATGACAAGATGACAGGACCAGACCTTAATTTCTCTTGAATAAATGTTGAAGAAGCCAGAAAAATTGATACTTTATTCAAACTTCAAAAAAATCCCTTCAAAGATGAGAAGCTGTTGTACTGATGGATTTAACTGAAGAGAGAAGAACCAAAGGACTGAAGACAGGTCTGGAAAAGGATCAAGTAAGCAAATGGATCCATGTCTCAAGTGGCCATAGATAAGCAAAGGTCTGGACAAACCATAAAAAGACAAAGGATATAGTATGAAGAAAAAAAGAATTTTGCCAATACCTCTTCCAGTTCCTTTGTAAATCAAAGTCATCCAAGTATCCATTTCAAAGTGCTAGAGACTGGAAACATATCTTTTCTCTGTATACATTTCTTTGCAAAATTTACCATTAAAAAAAAAGAAAGATAAAAGAAAGAAGGGAAGGGAAGGGAAGGGAAGGGAAGGGAAGGGAAGGGAAGGGGAGGGGAGGGGAGGGCAGAGAAG